TGGAACCATGTCTAGCTGACGCTGTGACCTGCGATATGAATACAGTGACCTTTCCTTTCTAACGCCAGTTATCATATCTTATCAGCTGCTAACCCTTCTTGTCACCCACCATGATGTTTATGTGCCATACCCTATATCATATCTTGGAATCAACACCTAGCTTATGCTGTCACCGGCGTTATGAATGGTGACCTTTCCTTTCTAACGCCCCTTATTGGATCCTCTCAACTGATATCACTTCCTGTCACCCATCCATAGTGTTCTTGTCCCGTACCCTATATCATTCCTTGGAATCAAGAGCTAGCTGATGCTGTCACCCGCGTTATGAATGGTGACCTTTCCTTTCTAACGCCCCTTATTGGATCCTCTCAACTGATATCACTTCCTGTCACCCATCCATAGTGTTCTTGTCCCGTACCCTATATCATATCTTGAAATCAAGAGCTAGCTGATGCTGTCACCCGCGTTATGAATATGGTGACCTCCCCTTCTAACGCCCCTTATTGGATCCTCTCAACTGATATCACTTCCTGTCACCCATCCATAGTGTTCTTGTCCCGTACCCTATATCATATCTTGGAATCAAGAGCTAGCTGATGCTGTCACCCGCGTTATGAATATGGTGACCTCCCCTTCTAACGCCTCTTATCGGATCTTATCAACTGATATCACTTCCTGTCACCCACCAATAGTGTTCCCGTCACACCCCCTACATCACTTCTCGGAACCAATGTCTCGCTGCTCCTCGAACCGGCGCTATGAATTTCGTGACAAACAAACAAACAAACAACACATACACACAGAGAGACATACTTAGCGGATTATATATAGTAGGATATTCATGTAAAGCTGAGCAAAAGTTACTGAAATGCAAGACCTATCACACATAGGTCTCGTAAATAGACCGGTCAATAGAGGTGTGTGCTCTTGCCAGTATTCAGCACCGAGGGCGAACGTCAGAAGCAGGTTGTGCAGCTCAGGTTGAGTTGTCTTTCTGCTTATGTACGACATAAAATCACTGTTTCTGATGTATTAGACAAGGTCACTGCTTCTATCAGTCTTATTGTACCTAATCTAGTTTGTTGAGAACCCTCAATCTAACTGGAATAACCACTCCTGACTTTCAAGTATCTGATTGGAAAGGTAATCCACTTGGGTTGAATATGTGATCAGCTAGCCAATTTATGTAGAGCTGATTTACTGTAGAATGTTCCCCCAATATAACGTACCTTTGTCCATGCATCTCTCAGAGCAGGCGATGAGGCATCCACTATGAAGACAACTGACGTCGTGTTTCTGGATGTACCTTGCGTGCTCTAAAATGTCAAAATTCTGCATACGAATTATTCGAGAGCTTGTCTATCATGTAGTAAATTTCCTAGAACAGACATAGAGTAGCGCTCAGAACAATTCGACCAAACGGTTTTTTGCCCATAGCACTTTCCTCATCTAGGCAATTCCTTTTATTTCAGAGCCGTCGTCATTGCTAATGAACAGCAGTATTTGTCTTTGAACACTGTTCACGGTCCGCAATTTTTTTTTGGGTGACGATTAGTATCAAGGAGCTCAACTCTACAATATGGTTCACGTTTATCGAGTTTTGAAGAGCTTCACGGCATTATTCCCGATTTCCAAAACAAAATTCTACTTCTTGCAGTGATATGAAAGAAGACTGGGGCCGCAGCTACCGATAAAGTTGCAATGAAGACAAATGTGCGCCTTCTCCGATTGTCCTGGAAATTTCTGAAATCTCAGTTACCCATCGTGTTCACAACAGTGAGACTGTGGTCAACGTTCCAAAGATCATTTGATTCCATTTGACATATATTCGCGAGGATAAACGCGTTGTCCACCGCGGCTGGTGCACGAGTTGCACATGCATGGGCTCCAAAGTCAGGTTCAATAGCTTGAATAGGAGAAAAATTAGCAATGAACTGTTGTGAGAACACTAAGTGCTAGGTTCGATTGATAAGGGTGCGACTGAAACTTTTTGTTCAGCTCAGAAAATCAAAGGATTGAATCAGAAGTTGGTCTCCGCCACTTTCGCTCCTGATCCAAGTATCGAAGCAACGACCTGTTCATCAGCGCAGTAGTGGTCAGATCGCCGAGGAGACAACTACCGTATCCATTAATACCATACTCGTGAACTACGAGACTGCTACTGCTGAGAGATGGACGTTAGTCTCATCGTTTGATGTTCAGTGGAGGTGGCCGAGGGCGACCTCTTTCTGAGCATTTTATTTCCATTTGACCCCGGATATTGGAAAAAGTGGCAGTGGTGAAATGTCGGCATCAATGTATATCTTTTCTTATCCCGAAATTTTCCGAAAGCAGAATGCCAGGTGTTTGCGACGATAACAACTAGGGTGAACCCATTGCTCACACTTAACAGACTGATCCGTGGTTCACTGCATCGGTTTCACAGGCTCATTTGCTTGATGGCGCAGTTTGGCGACAACGCATTTTGCACTTCACTACTTCACTACTTTCGGTTTACAAGTCTCACTTTAGAGGAAATTGTGAACCCTTGTGAAGGTCGTCTAGCCACCCTGCTAAAACATATCAATTCGAGAAAAGACTATCTAGGTGGATCGGTACATGGATCAAAAGCAGAATGCCTCCCCCTTCCCGTCGCTCAACTGTGCCTAGCTTGAATGAGAGAAATACAAAAAAATGGATTTCGGAATAGCACTGAGAGTGCTAGGTTCATTTGGTGTGCGATCTGAATCCTGCTGTTCAGCTCAGAAAATCAAAGGACTGGATCAGAAGTTGCTCCGTCACCTCCGCTCCACATTCAGCTTTAGGAGCATTGACCTGTCGCAGGAGTGGTCAGAAAATCCGCCAGAAATTTTATTTCTAACACTCGCTCTGTGGACCACCCATTTTAACGGACGCCCTTCACATAATACAGGAGCGTTTAGCTGTCGTTGGGGCGGCGAACATATCGGAAGTCCATTTCCATATTTGCCGACGCGCTTGTGCTCATAAGGAAATCTTCTCTCCTTGATTGTATTTTCTTCATTATAAGCGCATACTCTCAGCAGCAATCCATATAAGATAAGGTAAGACGGTGTCAAAGTCATCAATGTCAAAGTCAAGTCAGTGATGCAATTCTTTGGTGCAAAAGCTGGCCGCGTACCAAAAAGGAGACGATTATGTTTATGGTGTTTTTGAAGATTCCTTTTGCTTTTTCTTCTTAGGGAATCACTTATCAGCAAATGGTTCATAATTGAAGACAACTGTCCATGACAGTGGATCGCGAGAACGTCTTAAACCGTAGCACACTCAATGTTCTTCCGACATTTTATTTACCAACATTTGTCTCTTTAATGCTATGGACATGGCTGGATCGCGATCGATTCCTTCCTCAATTATATTCATGGAAAAAGAGAATAAGAGAGAGTGGGAGCTATCTGAAACCGCAACAGAAGGAATGCCGGCCGATGCTCAGTGTCGCATACATCAAGCGGGGGCTCCTACAAAAGCTATCCCCGAAATCTTATCCTTCCACTGTATGATTGACCTCAATGACCTAAGTCAGCAATATGCCCCTTCTGTATCATGTTTGACGATCACAACAGGGTGCGAGCGTAACTCTCATTCTTCCGAATGGGGATAATTTTTATTTTCCCCGTCCCACGCGCACTATATGCCGCCCATGCACCCCGCTCGACAGAAATGATTGAATCCCAACACGCTAAACCTGCAATATCCAACACTCATTGTTAGAAGCGTATAAGAAATTAAGTGAAGACAAGCTCTTATCTATTCTTTTCAACTGATATAATCGCCTCTCGCCTGTCACCAATGTCCCATTGTCCATATCACTTACCTTTTATAGTGTGAACAACGTACAACCTTGGAGAAGAATGACGGCACCAATGCCTTTCATCAGCCCCAGTCAGTTGCTATCCCTCTGTCACCAGCCAGTAACATCCCCGTAACATCCCCTACATCATCTGTTGTACCCAACCTCCCACTGTTACTGTGAGCTATGAATCACGACGACGATTGAGTTCCAATTCCTCTTATAGGATTTTATCAGTACCTGTCACTTTGCTTCACCCACCAATAGTGTTCCTGCCCCATGCCCTATATCATATCCTGGAACCAACGTCGCGCCCTTGCTGGCACCGGTACTGTGAATTTCGTGCCTTTCCCTTTGCCTTTCTAGCCTTGTTAGCAAATTGTTATCCTTTTCAGTCACCCACCACTAATGTTACAGTACCCACGATATGCTATAATTTGAACTTTGTATGTCTAAATCCAAGGATATAAATTTGCGGTCAACACACTTACTTGCACCAACAGATAAACTCAGCTGATTTACTGGGATACAGATCTAATGGTTTTCGGAACGTCGACCACTGTCCCGATGTGCCAGCACAATGCTATTGCAGGTGCAGAAACCTCCAGAATTCTTGGAGATGACGCATCTTCCGCATTTCTGCATTTTTTCATGGTCGCAGGCTGTATCACTATCAAAACATTGGATTGACACATCTGCACCAATAAGTTTCCGGTTTGCCTAGTGCTCGTGTTCCCCTTCCACTAATTCGAACCGTGAACAATTTTGCGGACATACATACGTACATACATACATACAAACATACAAACCGACACACAGTTACTGGCTTATAGAATAGAAATATGCTTGCTGCTAACATTCATCAAATCGAGAAACCCTTTGAAACCAGCTCAGTATAGGAGCGCACTGTAATCCACATGAACTAAAAGCGATGCGCAGAAATTCCTAGAAGCCCTCCGTTTATTTTTTTCCAAACAAGTTTTGAATCAAGCTAAAAAAAAAGTGAGAATAATCTCACAGATTCTGGGCTTGGTCCCAGCGGAACTGATGTTGTGGTACCTTCAAGTCCTTTAAAGGTCGTTTCAAAATTGCCGCTACTATCTGGAGAGGTTCGGGTCAGCGGACCGGCCTCTTTCTTTGTTGATGCTGTTGTTATTGTGAATTTGGTAGATCCTCCTTCAGTGCCGGTGCCTCAGCTCGTTGTCAAACATGGGTCCTCTGCATCTTTATTGACTAGGTCGAGCATCCAGTTCACTATCTTTTGGAGCTGGTCCGGCTCCTCCTTCTGAAGATGAGTAGTCACTGTCTGAACAACTTGAATACAATTAGGATGGCAACTCACGTTTATATCTGGTATAATCTTTTCATGCTTCGGATCTGTTGCTATGTTGTCTATATTCGTTTTGTTGGCAAGTTCTCCGATGCCGACATAAATCACGTTCACACCAGCGGAGTGCCACTGAAGTATGATCAGGCTAACTCACTTGCGCATTTTTCAGGACTATCAGTTCTCCGTCTAACTTACCCCGTCGGCAATATCTTTCTCATCCCCTCCTACAACTCCAGGTTGGTGACAGGTGGTGCTCTGACCATTCGAGATTATGATTACACTTTTATGCTTGCTGGCTTCTTTCTAAATGCATTCTATGATGTACGCTAATTAGATCAGTTCATGTTACCATAAAAAAATCAGTCTACACTTTGCGACAGGTTAAAAACCATGCAGCGCTGAAGAGTTTTTGTAGCCTGTTACAAACTTGACCACTTAATATTCATACGCTTCCTACAAAGGTCTATGGTGTTAGTAGTCTGCTACCAATCAACCCGTTCTCGAATCAAAGTGATTCATTCCAATTTATGATGAAACGTACTCACGAGAAGAAGCTCTTTAGCCATGTCGTATGCTTGATATGTGGCGAGCTTCTCTCCGCTGGATTTATATGGTAGCAGATTCTTTCTGAAAACCTGTTTTTCCTCCTTCAGTACAACATGTCTCTCACCATTAAATGGGAAGTCAGTGTTTTGCACGCCAAAATTATGTGTTTTGGTGGCTAGGGCCTCAACACTCACAATTGTGTAACTGATTCGTGAGTGGAAGCTCCCTGTAGTTGGGAAGCTCTGCCGTCCTCGGAGAATGTTTCCAGCATTCACTACTGGCCTCATTGGAACATTGCTTTTCCTATTTTTCTTACCGGTGGGGTCACCCGGCTGTCGCCGGGTGCTTCCTCCTTCTTTATCACGGCCGGGCTTCGCCGGGCCGGCCTGGCTTCGCCAGGCACTCTTTCTTTAAAGACAATTCCCGCGATCAAGTGTTCGGGTAATTGGTGCTCAGTCACGAAGCAGTGGCCCATTTGTAACCCCCCAGTGGAAAAAAATCGAAAAAAACCTAACACCCTGAACACAGACCTCCCTTTAGCAGTGGGGGCGGGGCCTGGACGAGTGTGCCGGACGTGGCTGCCAGAAATCGATGCGGCAGCCGCAATTGCGTCCCGACTTTCGAAATAGGATACTTTAAAGGGACGGAAGCAGCTCGGGACCGGACGCCTCGTCCACCTACCGTGTCAGCGAGCCTAGCGAGCCTTGTGGAAATCGCTATAACTTCCTTATCGCGCCATATTGAGGGATGAAAGTGGTATCATCTTCGTCAAGGCGTAGAGGGTTCCAAAAAGCACGAAGTCATTTTGAGGACCACTTGATCGCGGGAGTGTCTTTAAGCGAGGCAGAGTGTGCAAAATACGCCAAACCGTCACAGTTCATTTTCCAGCAAAATGTAGAAAAATAGTTGAAAATAGCTCGAGCAATGGGTTAAAGTTGGATCAGCGAGTCGAAGTTGAAGTTGAACCGGCGCTATGATATTCGTGTCAAAGAGTTAGACGCACACGCACGGACATAGCCGATTATATATGGTAGGATTGTAACCGTTGTCCCAATGTAGCGCTGAAATCTATCCTTTGGTCCACTCTTTTCTCGGAGTTAGTACCAAAAATCTCCATAACCCTCACACGAAAATTCAGCAACCTGTTAGAGCAGCCTTTGAAGCATCCTACCGCTTGATGCGTTCTCCACTACTGCAGGTTTCTTTTTCTGGAATGCACTCCCGCATTCGGGCAGTTTAACGCTTCGAATGGTCCTCTCTCAGATTGTTGATGAAAGATAGTCATAGTGATAAAGCCAGTTGCTGCAGTTCATGCCAACTGAGTAAACAACCGCCATGCTTCTGAACTCCAATTGCTTTACTTTACTGCGAACTACTGGGAGCCTGATACCTGGATCATATCAATCGCATAGTGGATGTAAGCGGTGTTGCGGATTTCCGCATGATGAGGTTTTCATTTCTTATCAGTCACTTCGTCTCACCCGTCAGTGGGTGTCCGCCCCTCCCCCTATACCACTTCTTGGAGCCAAGGTCCCACAGACCCTGCAACCTGCCCTACGAATTTGGTGGCCCTCCGCATCTAAGGTCCCTTATCAAATCTTATCATATGTTATTAGATTTTGTCACCCACCCCGTCCCTCCTGCATACAGAACCACGGTCTCAATTCACTGCAGCCGATGTTAGGAATTGGGTGACCCTCCGCGTCTAAGGTCCCCTTATCAAATCTTATCAGGTGTTATCAGCTTCTGTCACACACCAATCATGTCCACCCCCTTTCCCCTACACCACTTCTCGAAATCAATGTCCCACGGTTGCTGCAACCTGCGCTAAGAATTTGGTGACACCCGCGTCTAGGGTCCCTTATCGGATCTTATCAGATGTTATCAGCTCCTGTCAGCCCCCCATCTACGGCATATCACTGCTTGAAACCAAGGTCCCGCAGCTGCTGCAACTTGCCACGAATTCGGTCACCCTCCCCTTCTAAGGCCCCTTATCGAATCTTATCAGGTGTTATCACCTCCTGTCACCCACCAAAAGTGTTCCCGTCCTGCCGTGTATATCACCTCTTGAAATCAAGGTCCCACGGTCGCTGCAACCTGCGCTACTAATCTGGTGATCCTCGGCGTCTAAGGCCCCTTATCAAATCATATCAGGTGTTATCACCCTGTCACCCACCAAATGTTCCCGTCCTGCCGTGTATATCACTTCTTGAAATCACGGTCCCGCAGCTGCTGCAACTTGCGCTACGATTTCGGTCACCCTCCCCTTTAAGGCCCCTTATCGAATCTTATCAAGTGTTATCACCTCCTGTCACCCACCAAAAGGGTTCCTGCCCCAACCCCTATATCATATCTTGGAATTAACTTCCTAACGCTACTGGGACGGGCGCTATGAATCGTTGAACACCAACAACAAACACCAACACACACAGACACGCACAAAGACACACTTAACGGATTATATATAGTAGGATACAAACAGAACAGAAGCGAACCGCGTCGGGGAGAGGGATGAACCCCCGCAAAACTTGCTAGAATCATCACGACATCGACACTATATAGTGTAGGATAGTGGGATGAGTTCATTTTCTAGTGTTATCAGGAAAGTGTTGGCCAAAGGAAAGTTTCACAATCTGAGCCTCGAATACTCGGCATTAAAGCGGTGAGAGGTTAGCGCAGATGGTATCGTATCAATTTTTATCGATTGATAAGATTACCTGTCACCCGTCATCAATGTCCTCATCACTAAATCTCTATGATTTGAGAGCGTGAACCGCCTTGAACAGCGACGACGACTGCAACCTCCATTATCAGCCCCTATCAGTAGTTATCGCTTCTAGTCACCCACGGTTGATGTTCCCAACTCACTCTCTATATCACTTGCTGAAACGCACGCCTCGCTGATACTGTGACCTGCGCTATGAATACGATGACCTCACTATTCTAACGTCCCTTATCGAATCTTATCAGCAGCTCACAGTTCTTATTACCCACCAATAATGTTTTTGGCCCTCATCCTATATCATATCTCGAAATCAAGAGCTGACTGCTGCTGTGACCTGCGCTGTGAATATGGTAACCTTTTCCTTCTAACGCCCCTTATCGAATCTTATCAGCAGCTTACAGTTTTTGTGACCCACTAATGATGTTCTTGGACTATCCTCTATATCATATCTTAAAATCGAGAGCAGGCTGATGCTGTCACTTGCGTTATGATTATAGTGACCTTCTCCTTCTACAGCCCCTTATCGAATCTTATCAACTGATATAACTTCCTGTCACCTACCAATAGTGTTCCCGTCACACCCCCTACATCACTTCTTGAAATCATTGTCTCACTGCTACTGGGACAGGCGCTATGAATTTCGTGACACACAGACAGACGCACACACAAACATACACACACACACGGACAGACATACTTAGCGGATTATATAGAGTAGGATAAAAAAACGCACTGGGATGCTGTTTTGATTGTGAGTACCCTCACAGCTGAATATGAGCCGTGCGTGGGCAGGATGGGAGCGGGACTGGATAACCCCCTCCTGCTTCCCTCCACCAGACGTGCTCAGCCGGGCCTGGGAACATGCACGTGAAGGCGCTTGAGGGAAGCGAGTGAACGGGTACGGTGAGAAGGTGCGTAGCGCACGCTTGAATAGCAGCGCTCAAAGAGGAGGAAAGAACCGCTGACTAAGCTGCGAACTAAATCACATTACTGTAACAATAAAAATGTTCTTTTGATTGTGATAATCCTTAAACTATATAGCACAATTATTTAGTACATTCCGAGCCATTGAACAAGCTCACAAGCTGCTTGCGTGACGGCTGGACGTGAGTTCGTGCGGGGAAAAGGTGGGGGGGGGTGGGAGTGGGGGGACACGCTTGAACAGGAGCATGCAACCACGTGTAGGAAGCAACTGCTAGCAACTGCAAGCTAATTCATATTAGCAAACTAAAATGTTGTTTTGATTGTGATAATTCCACCAACTATACAACATAACCTTTTGTACACTGCAAGCCACTTCACAATCTTCTCGCGCGGCAACTGGACGAAGCCCATGGAGGCTGGCGGGGCGAACCAGTGGGAGGGTAGCGTATGGTATACCAGCATGACCGCCGCTCCTTTGAGTAGGCGCACGCAGCAACTGCGGAGATCACAGCATCTATGAATGTGATAAGGTGAAGAGAAGAGGAATCGACCGCAAGTAGAACTTGCGAACCACTTCATATTGCAGTATCAAATAGTGGCAGCGTTTTGATCGCGATAAACCCTCCACTATATGAAAGCACCGCTTAGTGCTCTAGGAGCCGTTGTACGAGTTAATCCCGCGGCAACTAGACATGAGCGCCTTAGAGGGCTGAGCGATTAGTGATCGAGACGAGTAGGCGAGGTGAGGGAGTTCCAGATGAGCATGACCGACGCTCGCATGCAGCGATGCGGAGACAAAACGGGCTATAGTTAAGACAAGATTAAGAAAAGAGGGACTGACGGCAAGCAGAACTGCGAACAAGTGAATCCATCAATCAATTGGTATCAATTTATGGCATTATTGAACTATTCCTTCCCAAAAACTCAAAAAATTTTCCCGCTGAAACGTTGCCTATAGATGTAATTCGATGCGCTGATCACGAATATCACATCCGTTTTGAGCGCTGGCGTCATTTGGCGCCATTATGCGCCAATTTGGCGCCCACCACTTTTTTCACCAAAGTCGATGAAAACTTGCATATGGGGGTTAATTGAGGTCCTGATTACGAATCCAACATTTATTTTTGGCGCTGGCGCCATTTGGCGCCATTTTGCGCATAATGGCGCCAAATGGCGCCAGCGCCAAAAATAAATGTTGGATTCGTAATCAGGACCTCAATTAACCCCCATATGCAAGTTTTCATCAACTTTGGTGAAAAAAGTGGTGGGCGCCAAATTGGCGCATAATGGCGCCAAATGACGCCAGCGCTCAAAACGGATGTGATATTCGTGATCAGCGCATCGAATTACATCTATAGGCAACGTTTCAGC